CACACAATATTTCCACAGGCAATAGATTTTTCCTGATGCATAACTGTGTGGAAAATAGTTTTCAAAGTTCTCTTTGCAACTCCACCTGCCCTCATGTAGCTGGCTATTTACAAGTCTTCCTCTGTTTCATGAATCACACATGGACTCTTGTACAATCCTGACTGATAAAACCTTGAGTTCCATCTCATTCGCAAGACCAAAGGTGTGCTCTTCAAAATTCACACTGCTATGAAAAAAATCTCAGCCCATCAGGGATTTCATATTCTTTACACACTCTTTTACACTAACAGAGAAAACTGAAAACTACCACACTTATTTTTTCCATAAAGTTACAAATTCATTCAAAAGCAAATTACAACAACCTTTAAAAAAAATTCGGGCATTTTATCTAAGTAGCTCTCTAATTGTTTTACCCCCGTGATTCAGGTTAATGTTCAAATGTGACATTTAATGGAATATGTTTGTTCAGTACGTAAAGACAAAAAGAAATGCAGTACAGACTCATCATAGAAAAGCAGCTGTTGCTGAGAACTCTATTGCATTATTATAGCTAACTCTACAAATATGCGACCCCTTGGCATGTCCTCCACCTCTCACTACCAGTATGCAAGGCCACATTACTGTCCAGTGTCTTGCACAGTACTCTTAAGGTGAGATGTCAGGCAGACATGGAGGTACAGAGAGGGACCAGCTTCATCATAAATGCAAGGTAGCTTCCAATAACAAAACTTTGAGATATATATAATCCTTCATTTGCATTTATACCTGCTGTTTCCTAGTACAATCAATGAACACACGGTTTGCAGAAGAATAATGTTCCAGATACCTTCTCCTGATTATTAAAATTCTGGCTGTATCCCTTTACCTAGCATCTGTATGGCACAATGTCGTCTATATATTTTTTCTAACTAGAAATATTTTGTATTAGAATAACATTTTAAGATCAGAAAATAAACACACATACATAAACCAAACTTTCCAATCCTATGTGCAGCACTCCGTGGCCATTTTTACTAACCTTAAATTGAACTGTTATTTTAAGTTTCTGAGCCAGAAATGCAGAGGAATGATGTTGATGTTCAAAAAATGATATTTTTTTTCCTAAATGCTAGACGTTCAGAAAACAAATGTTTATGAATTAATTCCTCACTGGTGGGATTTCACAATGCAGCTTGAAAGACATAACTGAAAACAATAAAGAACATAATTTGCACTATTTTGCCTTATATACAACTACATCAAAACATGACACATCAGAATTCCTATACATGGAAGTCCTCTAACAATGTTAGGATTTATGATTATAAAAATCACAATGCTCTGTACTATCATTACATGACAAAATAGACCTGCAAAGCTTATTATACTACATAACCAGATGGTAAACAACAGTTGTCGTTGTACTAAGAATTACATCTCTGTAATCAATAATAGGAAGGAGGAACAGTTGGACAACTTGTTTCCTATTATGTTCACTTAGGCAACGTCTAGATCAATAAAGAGCATTAAGCCTCATACCAACTGTAGACAATGCCTGCTCAACATGCCTATCATATGGCAGCAATGGGTCCAGCTGTACTTCAAAATACTTGTAAATGGATAACAATTCTAATCTAACATTAAAAAGCAGCAACGATTCAAATAGCAGGCAGGTGCAGGACTTCTCCAGCATATGAGAGAAGGCAGACCTAGGATGCCAGTTTTACTATAAGTCACAGTCAGCTTATTTTGTCAATCCAGCCCATAAGTACATTTCACTACAGCCTATCCGAAGGATGTTACATGTATTATATAGACAAAAGAAAAAGGCAACCAAGCACGGCATCACTGGCTTACACATAGACTCAGTAATTATGTGGGTGTAGTAAGCTGTTCGCAAAAATTGAAAACTGAACTTGTATATCGCTCTAGGCCAATATGGCAATTAATTACGAGGAAGTTTTAAGTTCATCCATTTTTTACTATTTAAACAAACAATAAATCAACCCATTCAGCTATGTTCGCATCTTACTTATAAAATCTATCCTATAAATGTGAAAATTTTAACAAGTAACTGACTTAAGGCGACTAGCTTCAGCTTCCTGCTTTTTAAATTTTCCTTGTATTCCATACTTTCATAACACATCAAAGTGAAGCTGTCTCACATCATGATATTAACTCAGATACAAGCCTCAGTTTATTCTGAAGCAATCATTCAATTTCAAGGTGACAAAACACGAGACAGTGAGCTCTTCTTACCTATTCCAATAAAGACTGCTTCATAGCCATCTTCTTTCAAGGTACGGAGAGTCATTCCATCCATTGCGAGGCCTTTCCTAAAAATTATCTGAAAGAATTAAAAATTGCTTGCTTTTAATGTGATAACATGAAAATATTTACTATCGTGTTTTGCACACAGACACCCCACAGGATCTTCTAGTGAGCGAACAAAGCAAATTATTTTTTTTCCCCAGAAGCCAGGCTTAAAAGGCCAGACTGGCCCTGATTTAAGCAAGTAGCCCAAACTACATATGGGTAAAAGGTACCTTCAGATCATCCTCAGATGGGGACCACCACAGGCTACCTTGGATTCTGCTGTAAGCTAAAAGGATTAAAGCAAGATAAACAAAACAATAGAGACTATCTACTGAAGTAGAGCTGAAAATGGCAGTTTTCCACTGCATGTAGATGTCTGTATTCAGTGCTGACTATGAAAGGTTATATACTAATGTGAAAATTAGAATTTAAGAAACATGATGTGGAAGCAAGAACCTTCTTTAGGGAATATGCACTAAAAAGATTACTCAGCACACCAAACAAAAAGCAACCAGTTTAGGTTATTGTACAAACATTAGTGGAAGTATGACCTGACACTATTGTGTATTAACAGGGGGTCTGAAAAGAAAACCAAGCAATGTTTTCCCACACAGTATCAGGCACTTGGTTGGCCTCCAATTGTGCAGAATGCAATGCCAGTCCCCAAGGAAGGATAATACTGCCTTGTGCTGTACTCTGAAAGCTCACAGTCCAAATTTTACACTGAGACCACTAGCTAGAACACTTTTATGCCAAGAAAAAAAAGCCCTTTCAGTGAAGTCCATGGTGCTTTTGTGGATTCAGAAAAACTGTGTGCAGAAGACAGGGCCAGAGATGGCAGCAAGTCTAAAGAATATTCTTTGCAAATTACAGCATCTCCTACTTGATGTAATGATGCAGAATGTTTTGCATGGTAAACTACCAATGGTTTACACAAATAAGAGTAAGTTTTGATTTAAATTTGCAATTGTTAATTTCAATTTAGACAAGCCACAACATGTGTTAGTGCAGTGATTGGTGCTTGTTTATTGAAAAAAAGTAACAGCAATAAAAATGCATGTATAACCTATATTTCGTTCTGTTCAATTACTTTTTACTTCCAGAAGCAAAAACTGAAATCTATTCTAGAGAAATGTTCCACCAGCAATGCTGCTTTAAGCAGTCACTGCACAGGCTATGCAACTACTGTAGTTACAAAAGTGAGATGGGGAATATTGTTTGCTGCATGCTCAGCCAACCAACTATGGCAGTCCCCTGTGTAGAGGTCATGCAACTGGAGATACACATACCTTTTGCTCATCTCTCCTTACCTCAAGGCCTTTGAGCACATAAAGTGTCTGTGATTCCTCTTCTGATATTTTGTACTTCTTGACATGGGCATATGTGTTTTTATCTCTGTATTTTAGACCCTCTGAACTTGAATGTCTTCCCCCAGTTTTTTTATATCACTTATGATTTCACTTTACAGAATGCCACCCTCCGTTGTGTAAGCTCTGTATTTTGTGATCTTAACAGTTTAGCCTTCATGTCATTGTGTGTGTTGTTTGTTATTCAATCTGCCTATATTACATTTAATGTACTTTTCCTATTGGTGAAAATAAAGGAACAAGTAAAATAGAATTTACATTACTTAAAACACTGACTTTTTTTGGCTTTGGAGATTTAGTATAAATTTTATCAGAGTTTCAAAACCCATGTACTATTCCAATTCTTTAAACAATACAGACTCCAACAAAAGGCATTCCATAAATTGTCATTACATTTTTCTGTCCTATTGTGTACATATGTTATGAAAACGTAATGAAGGAATTTAAGTGGCAGTACTATTTTCTGTGGGGATTCATAATACTCCTAGGGCCTAGCTCTATAATCCTTATTCAGCTGACTAATTCTTACTAATTTCAGTAGAATTACTTGAATAAACAGCACTACTGAGCATTTACACAATACAGCACCTTCCACTACAGATTTGAAATGCTTTAAGTAAACACCAGGAAATATTTCCAGCTTAGAGAGGTATAAAGCTAAGGTACTTATTTAACCAGCTTGCCAAAGGGTCAATTGCAAACCAATGGTAGAGCTTGGAAGCAAATTTACATTGAGATTCTCTGCTGCACTCTAAAACCACAGAAGACCTGCAGGTCAAGATGACATGGTGACTCTATCAGTCCATCTGGAGACCTTGTCATAACAGGGATCCCTGGGGAACTGAGGTTGGCAGAGGGTTCCCAGGAGCCTATGCTCAGCAATTTTACCTAAAATTGTCTCAGTGCTCTGTTCTTAGCCCCATCCCTAACTCAGCCTCCATTCTGTCAGTCTTTTCAAGGGTTGCAAAAGGATCTTTAGAGCAGAAAAACAGACCTGTGGCATTCAAAGCCTTATTTTACATCTTACTGGCATTTTTATAAAACCAGGGTAGGATGCGGTTCTCACTTGGGTCTTGTGACAACAGTCTACTGCTTTTATGATATGAACCAACATGAAAGATTCCGAGAAGAATTTCTTGCTTCACTGAAGGCTTTAGTATCATGTTAAAAATACAGTATCCCTCTTGGTACTCAAAAATTTGATCCAGTGATGCATTCTAAGTTTGTAATTTCTATTAAAATGTGCAGCAATTGTAAATGCTATCTAAATCTTCAGCTGAAGCCCTAAATTAACAATAAAGCAATGTTCCCATTATCTATAAACAACACACATTTATTTAACAGAATAATGCATAACTATTGCTTTCTAAGAAGCTGAATGACTGTTATTGTTTATAATAGATGATCATGTTAACACTTTGTTTAATTTGATGCATTTTATTATAAAATTAACTTGGATACAAGACTGTATGATAAACCATTAAGAAAAATACTCAGGGAGAACGAACAATAGAAGTATCAAATATGAATGTTTTAAGTAGTGCCAAACTTGCATGAAAAAAACTTGATTAAAAAAAAAATCAAATCATTCCAATAGCTACACTGAACCCCTAAAGCAATTTAGGAATTTGTTTCTTACAGACAATTAATCACATGCAGGCATGCCAGATGAGAACTATTGATTGCCCTTTTCCAAACTAGTGGCATTCAGACAGGAGACAGACAAATGCCCTGAGCAAGAGGAAGCATCTTCCTGCCTCTGTCTAGCATAGCTTTTAATCGTTCTTTACTAATGTGCATGACATTTTGCTGTTAATCTTTGGCAGAGTTCTTGTTCTTTTTTTCTTTGAGCTATACATAGACAGAATATATTTTTCATTACCTTCACTCCAAGATCTTTCATAAGCTTGGCTTCAAAATTCACTACATCATACGGCAATCGGAACTGGGGGATTTCAGACGTGCTAAAAAAAATTAAAATACTTGTGAAATGCTTTTAATTATTAGGAAGAAAGGATTTATATTTGTTAAAAATTCAATATTTATAACCTACCTTACACGTTAACTTTGACGTATGTGAATGGAAACGTGCTGAAGTTTGACCATTGACTTTTTAAAATAGTTAGAGTGATAAAACAGCATTATTTATGCAATGCTAAAAATATAGGCCAGGAATGCACTAACTTGAGGCCAACCCTGCCCACACTTATAGGTAACCATTTAATATATGTTTAGCTTGAGTTCAAAAGAGCTTCAGCTCCATTCCTTTTGTTCACCAGAATAAGTCATGGCAAACTTAAGACATCCGTTTAAGAAAAGATCTCATAGCTACTAAAAGCAAAGAGAACTTTTAGCAATCATTCATTAAGCTATGAGAGAATAAGAGAGAATAAATTCCCCATATCATTTTTTTAAAGCGTTACATCTGCTATTTTGAGCAATGGTATTTAACTGTACCTGCCTCTATTTCTACTTCTAAAATTTTTTATGATCTTTCAGGATGGCCAAATATTCCATCAGCTGTTGGTTTCATGTCTGGTTTTTGACTTAATGTTTATTAAATGCTATTTTTTCCTCCTGGGGAAGATTAAGAATGACATCTTCAAGTTCCCAGAATCACAGATCTGTATGGGAAAACTGCAGTGCCAGTAAAGAATCTCAGTATATATCTACTGGTACAGATATAATAAACATATATTTATCTCCATTGAAATCGTATATACGTGTGCCAGTTCAAAATTTCTACTGTAAAACATGCTACAGGTAAACAGAGTGAAGTTCTATTTTTGATACTGGTGTTCAACGAAGATAAAAACCTGAATATGCAGAAAAAAGAAAGTCCCTCCCCAGATACTTTTAAGCTTCAAACAGTCTAATCTGTCTTCAAATTAATGAATCTATAATTTCCATAACAAAGCATTGGCACAAGAGATTCACTCCAGCTTTACTTTGCATATTGTTAGTGACCACACCATCTTTAACATCTAACTTTGACAGACTAGAAGGGGTTTGTTTATTTTCAGTTGCATCAACTTTAATTATATTGATAAGAAACTGGTGTTCTGCCTCATAATTTCTAATACTGCCCTTTTTCCACCTTTCTTGACCAGTGTGCAATGAAAAGTGTTGTAAATATCAGATATAATGAACGTGTCATGACAGTACAAGTTTCATAGGTCATACAAAGTAAAAAGATGTTTGAGGCAGAAACTAATGTATCAATATGATTCTGCAACAGAGATACAATCAAGAAATCTAATCAAAAAAAGGAAAGTTCTATTTTCCAAGCCACCTATATATTTGCTGAAGGCCTGTCATTTCCATGACATGCTCCCAGAACAGAACTGGTTGTGTTATGCCACTGTCAGAATTTGTAAACATTTTTTTGCTCTTATTAAACATTTACTTACAGTTTTTTGCTATGAGATATACCCACATATATGTCCATATGTCAATACACAAATTTCTGTGGGGGCACATGAATGCACATTAACCATGAAAACAACCATTTTATGAAAGTCAACAGGTACATCAACAATTCTGCTGAAATTTCTTTCAGCTGCAGCAGATGGTCTTTGACTCTGCAGTGGAGAGACAGAGGGAAAAGGAAACAGGGCAGAGGTACAGGAGGGATGCAGTGTATGGGAACACTGTCCCACCAATTCACCTCTTCCTCAAATCTGATCCAAGTCAGAGGTGCTTGGACAGGTGCTTGATGTTTCTCAGTGATCCCAAATTACTTTTGCTCAAGGGACACCTCTTTGGCACAATGAGAGAAATATTTTGGTATGTTGTAAGCCAGTGGTATAATTAGGAGCAGGAGCAGTGAAGCCTGTTCATGGTCTCTAAGCCAAGAGCATTACGTGCTCATGCCTACTCTCCTATGAAGCATAAGTTGTATGCAACTGGTGAAATGCAGGAAAACCTGCTCATAAACGTGAAGAATTCAGACATGTTCAGAGAACCACAGATTTATGTGACATTTAAATATCCCACCACAGTAACTGCAATCACTAGACACTTTTCTATTGTCACAGTATTATGAAAGTTAGCTAAGATGCAAGGAACATCCTAATTAAAAACACTTGCAAAAAATATGAAGGGGCACAAACACTGCCCTTCCAAACAGCCAATTCCAAACACAAAATTAATTTGGTCTTCTTAGCCATTTGCAATAGCTGAAGCCTTGAAAACATACCCATCAATAACTTAAACTTGTTAAAAGATGTGCTGCAAAGGCTTAAAAATGCAATAATGGATGATTGCTGCCACAGGCCAGCCTCCCTTCTGTTCCAAGAGTAAAATAAGGACAGAAGGAATTGATGCCCTTACAGCATATTTGAAAATTTCTACAATGAATAGAAGTAAGATTTGACCTTGATTGCTACATGTTCTTACATACAGACTCAAAAGAAAGAAATACATTTTAAAACATACTCCCTGACCATTAACAATACTAACAGAACAGGCAAAATTTAGTGTAAGGTTTTTTGCCATCAAACAACAGACTAAACGTTGTTTTAAATTCAACATAAAACATAAAGAACATAAGATCACATTGTTTCAAATACATAGGCACACACTAAGCAACTGTAACATTGTACTGTAAGCACTGAAGGAACTTCAGAAAGTACTGCCAAGTCCCACCTGAGCCTAACCTGCTACCAAATAAAGCCTCATTGTTAGAAATGTCTCATTTTTTTCTTAATACTTTATAGCAACAAAACTGATTTTAATCTCATATTTACAAAAAACATATGCTACTCAACAGGTGAACAGGTATTTCATGTACTAAATTTGCAATTCTCTATGGCACCTAGTTCAAGTAAAACAGCTCCACAGTTAAATGCCTATGTATTAACACCTTGGTAATTAGGTAGAATAATTCTGAACCTCACTGGGAAAAATGCAAGTAATCAGTTCAACTTCTCCAGCATTGATTCTCTATCTTCCAGAGCACTGAATAAGTATTTGACATTATGACATTATGGATCAAATTCATTAACCGTGTCAACTCTATTGATTTCAGTGATGCTGCATTGAGAAATATGAGTGCATCACCCTTCTTTCTCTCTCTGTTTCTTCACAATTTTTATTTTTTAAACACTTTAGTGTGAGCACATTCTGTACTCTTGTACATCACACATTGCAAAATTTCATTTTGGTCTTGAACAGGTTGGTATCCACATGTCAGTGTCTGCATTATTTTACACATAGGGATTCCAACAAATTAACAAGATATTATCTCAGCCATTGTTACAGTGGTAAAAATTCATCTTCTAGCATAGAGGACATGACACCATGCAAACATCATCTAAGTGTTTACCATATAGTAAAACTGCAAAGGAATGTTCCTTTGTGTATCACCACATGTTGAAAGTTGAGAATTGCAGGGGGTTTATAATACTTTTATAGAATGGTCTAGTAAAGCTGCAAGTCCAGGTGTACATGATCAATTTATTCACTGTCAACTTTATTTGTATAAGCTAGCCCATGAAAGCATTCTAAATCTAAAACCCTTCATGAAATTAGTACCTGTCCAAGGCATTCTAAACATCTATTCATTCTTTCACTAAGGCTACAAGTACTTCACCTTGTTTTAAGTTTTGGATAAGGGAAAAGAGATCCTGACATAATTTTCTAAAGTGTTCATTTGATAATAATTGCACCCTGGAATTTAATGGGTCATATGAAGAGAATATAGGAGATTGCCACTGGATTTTTAGTTAAAGCTTACCTCTATCTGCACCTCTTTTAACTTAAATGATGAATTATTTCAATAATACGTAAGTGTTCCAGATTTTCTACTCTCTTCCTTTGGTAAAGCTAAAGAGATTATGTATAAACTACGTATGTACAATACTTTTTGCTATGCTTTCCACTATAATTGGAAACAGTACTTTTTGTCATTGCTTTTTACCTTAAGCCACCAATGTACTCCTGCTTTTCAAATATGGTGATGTTGGAATAGCCCAGTCGAGCCAAAAAGGAAGCACAACTTAAACTTGCAGGTCCTGCACCAAGAAGAGCTATCTTCACCTGATAGGCTTTAGGCATATCTTCCAGAGGAGGTAAGGAAGGGTTTCTGATCTGAGGAATATTCATAGCTTTGAATATCTGAAAAGCAATAAATTCAATATGTTACATACCTTACATTCCCTCCTTAAAAACTTTATTATTAATAACATGGTGGAAGCTTCTGCTAATGCTGTCACACATCTGATGTATGTTGCAGATTGCTTTGTAACATTATAGGGGTTTCCTACATGATGTGTGTATTTGTGAGGGATGTTCTGTTTGCAGGGTTTGGTACTTTCCATGGGTCTTCTTAAAAATATCTGAAGTCAGACCTTTCAGTACTGTAAATTCTACAAAGACAGAATCAGACTACCAGTAACAGAATAGGAATACAAAGTCAGCCAGATGGCAAAGAATCTCTGCAATGCCAAAAAAATTTGCTGCAAACAAATTATTCTTCCCAGTAAAAAAGTATTTCTGCAAATAATGCAAAGGATAATAATGCCAGTGAAGGGACTTTGCCTCTTCAAGAGACAATCTGCATTATCCTGGATAAATCAGTTATGGCTATTTTTTGAGGTGATAGGCAACCAACCTTAGGTGGGTTTGGAACATCTTTTTAGGAATCATCCTTTGTTTTCAGTGCTATATTATCAAGGGTAACCCATGATTTAGATGCCTCTTATTAGATAATTTTCATAGGACTTATTTTATTTTAGTTTATTATCTGTTTAAGATGTTCTTCACTTTTTAACTGGGTTTCCAAAAACTGTATACATACCTGAAAACTAGACTGTTCTCCCTATGTCCAAATTACTCACCTGTAAAATGGTGATGACATGCTCCAGTCTCTCCTGACTACTAAAAGTACTTTAGAACTGTCTCTGACCACTATTTATGCATTTATATAGAACCCAGCACAATGGGCTGCTAATCTAGGTGTAATGTCACACAGTTTTTCAGATTTGCATTAAATCAGTTCTTTGCTCAGTTATACAGGTAAGAGGCTAAGACAGAAAAATTCTACACTTCCCAAGCTAGACTTTACTATCCTCTGCATTTATATACATTGTAGGGGAAGGAGTGGAATATTTGTCTTGTATAACCTATGAAAGGAAAAAGTATAGACTCACAGTCTTACTTGTTACTAAAAATTAGAAACATGAAAGAGCACAGTTACATCTTCCTTTTATTTTATGCATTAGGTGAAAAATGTTTAATCCAAGGAGTATATATTTGTAACAGACAAAAGGATTCAAGAGTGCACTGCATGGGGATTCGCAGTCATATATCACAAATATTTCAAGGCTGTATCTCAAAAACTATCAAAAGATCACACTGTTCCCCACCTATTTCAATGGAGAACTGCTTTCCATAGGTACTAACCAGTCCTCTAAAACACATCCATTGACATTTGTCTTAATGCACATACTATTTAAGCTATTTAATAAGTTTCCCAACATATTTTACTTCCCTTAGAACTCCAGAAGCAAAGGGTTTCAAGTTAAACTTTGGCAATTCCACTCATGAATAGAATTTTTCATTTATATTTTGAATCAATGTTCATTTTCTTCATGCACACTTGAGCACTCATGCTAGGTAAACCAATGATTAGTTCCTTCCCCCTCTAAAATTTCTGTGTCAAACTCCCCCAGCCTTCGTAAATTGACATAGCATTTTAACAAACTGCATGAAGCAAGAGACAGATAATTGTTTTAAAGAAAGAATCATTTAAACCTGACAATTCATACAATATGGGGAAGCTTAATGTGGTTATTAATGGATTTCACAGGCTGAAAAGCTTATATTGTACTGTGAAACTAGACTGTGATAACCAAAATGCAATAGGATATTTCTAAAATGTCTGCTTTGTTATATTCACACAGAAATGGCTTGAATGATACCAAATCTTCATTAAAGTCTCATGCAGTTGTTTTAGAAGGCTATTCAGTGCTATAAAATACGTAACTTGCATATTTAATGTGCATATTGAATACTCTGAACATGCATATGTTAAATGAATTTATTACTAAATTTACTTTATTGTTAACATAACTATTTTTGTATGTATTATTGAATAGTTATACTCATCAAATAAATGCTATACTAAAGTACCCCACTACTGTAGTGCAGTGTTAAGCTTCAGAACCCAAGCACTCATGCAGGAAATCCTAGTAGTTCAGGCTGAATGGTCAACTTTAATTCTGCCTATTTGCAAACAGGGTGAAACTGTCTTTATGCAGCACAGCCAGCTTGTGTGGCAATATCTTGCCATCTGGAATTCAGTGGCAGTTTTGCATATTAAAGCTGGCAGGGTAACTGTGTGAAAATAGGAAACTGCTTTAATGCATTTCAAAAGATTTT